TGACAACTATCCTCCTTGCAGTTTCTTCAGCCCAGGAACATGACTTGCTTTATAGCCAGGTGGAAACATTTTATACTTTAACCAAATGTCTGTGAAGCATTTTCCTGTGCCCCATCTCATTTGATCCTCACAGAAGTCCTGGAATAGGTAGATGGGAGACTCAATAGAATCCTATTTTCTTTTCTTTAGCCAGAAAATGGAGATTTAGAAAGTTTAAAAACTTGACCTGACTGAAAATAAGTAAGAAATGGTGGACTTTGAAAATGACTTCAGGTTTTCTCACTGCGCAGAATATAGTCAAATGCTGCTGAAGTTAAATATTTTACCCTTTGTTCTCCCTGTGTGATCTACAATAATAATCTGCTTCATGTTGATATTTACTGCTGTGTTGCTGACAATTACCTGAAAGAGAAGTTGGGGTGCTTCACTGGGCTGGAAAAAGTTTAGCTACATCAGAAACAGGTATGATTAAGAAAGTTTATTCTATATACTAGAGGCCCAATGCATGAAATTCATGTTTGGGTATGGTTCCTAGGCCTGGCCTGCAATCAGGGCCATCTTCCCCTGCTGCCGACAGCCAACCCTGCCACTTACCGCTATCCACCCCCAGTTCCCTGTTCACCATCAGGCAATCAGGGCCTGCCAGCCAGGGGGAGGGACGAAGAGGTCGGCCCTTCATGCCCGCTGGCCAGCCCCACCCCCGCCATGGGTCACCCTCTGTGAGTGGGGCAACCAATGGGGTGGGGACCTTGGCCTGGTGCCACCACCCACCCCCAGTTCCCTGGCCTCCATCAGGTGATGGAAGCCTGCTGGATGGGGAAAGAGACAGAGAGGTGGTCAGTGTGCCTCATAGTGATTGGTCGAGTGGTCATTCTGGTCGTTCCGCCATTAGGGTCAATTTGCATATTACTCTTTTATTATATACTAGAGGCCCGGTGCACCAAAATTTGTGCACTCAGGGGGGGCGGGGGGGGGGTATCTCAGCCCGGCCTGTGCCCTCTTGCAGTCTGGGACCCCTCGGGAGATAATGACCTGCTGGCTTAGGGCTGCTCCCGGGTGGCAGAGGGCAGACCCAATCTCTAGGTGCAGCCCCTGGTCGGGCTCAGAGCAGGGCCGATTGGGGAGTTGGGGCGCCACCCCCTGTCATGCACAGAGCAGGGCGGATTGGGAGGTTGCGATGCCACCCTCAGTCATGCTCAGGGTAGGGCCGATTGGGGGGTTGGGGCACCACCCCCTGTCACACTCAATTCAGGGTCGATGGGGAGGTTGTGGTGCCACCCCCTGTCATGCACAGAGCAGGGCCAATCAGGGGGTTGGGGTGCTGCCCCCTATCACGCACAGAGCAGGGCTGATCAGGGGATTGGGGAGATCCCTCCTGTCACACACAGAGCAGGGCCGATCAGGGGGTTGGGGAGCTCCCCCCTGTCACGCACAGAGCAGGGCCAATCAGGGGGTTGGGGCGCCGCCACTCTCACACTCACGGCAGGGCCGATGGGGAGGTTATGGCTCTACCCCATCACACACAGAGCAGGGCCTGTGGGGTGGGGGGGTTGGGGCGCCGCACCCTGTCACACACAGAGCTGCAGGGTGATCAGGGGGTTGGGGAGCTCCCCCCTATCAGGCACAGAGCAGGGCCAATAGGGAGGTTGTGGCCCCGCCCCCGTCACACACAGAGCCACAGGGCAATCAGGGGGTTTGGGCGCTGCCCCCTTCATGCTGATCCCGGTTCTGGGAGGCCTCGCGGCTCCGTTGATCCCGGTGCTGGGAGGCATATAACCCGTTTACTATATAGAATAGAGGCCTGGTGCATGGGTGGGGGCCAGCTGGTTTGCCCTGAAGGGTGTCCTGGATCAGGGTGGGGGTCCCCACTGGGGTGCCTGGCCAGCCTGGATGAAGGGATGATGGCTGTTTGCAGCTGGTCACACACCCTTCAGGGTGGGGGTCTCCACTGGGGTGCCTGGCCAGTCTGGGTGAGGGGCTGAGGGCTGTTTTCAGGCTGGGACTGAAGCTCCCAACTGCTTCTTTCTTTCTTTCTTTCTTTCTTTCTTTCTTTCTTTCTTTCTTTCTTTCTTTCTTTCTTTCTTTTATTCTGGGACAGCTTTAGCTCTGAGGCTTGGCTCCAGCTCTGAGGCCTCAGCTGCTGCAAACAGGTATCTGGTTTGTTTCGGTTCTATAATTAAAACTCTGTATCAACTCCAGCTCTGAGATCCCAGCTCTCTGAAAGCTGGTTTCTGGGGTTTTGTTTAGCTTCTATATTTGTTACAATGTTTTTTAAACTGCAAGCTCAGAGGCTGGCAAGGCAGGCGGGGAACGTTGCAGTCCTCCATCACTGAAGCAAGTAAGCCTCATGTTCAGTTTAAGCTGCCTGGCTGCCGGCCGCCATCTTGGCTGGCAGTTAATTTGCATATCGCCCTGATTAGCCAATGGGAAGGGTAGCAGTCGTACGCCAATTACCATGTTTCTCTTTTATTAGATAGGATAATAAAAGGGTAATATGCTAATTAGACTGGACCTCCTTCTGGATGACTGTCTGGATGAAACCAGGGTTGTGAGGGTAGCCTGGGTCCCAGGTGCCAGATGAATTTCATGCATCAGGCCTCTAGTATATAGAATATAAAAGTTGGCTTGCGCTTGTGCGATACATATAAAACTCTTGCCGGCACCAACAGCACGTGTGTGTTTTGATCTGTCACTGTCGATTGTGAATTTGGTTGACACTTCTATTATAGAGAAAGGATGAATAGCAATATTAAAATACTTCTTCTAATTAATTTTCTTTCAATGTGCATGAATCCATGCACTGAGCCACTAGTTAGGATATAAAATTGCATTGAAAGAAAGCTTGGCATTATTGAGGAAAACTGAAGATATATACATACCATAATACCCAGCATTTCCAGGAATATACACTAAAGAAATGCTTGCCTATAGGCCCCAGGACAATGGGAAATAAATTGGAATACTAAAACAGTAATGTAAATGAACAAGTGACAATTACAGAGAACATCATGGAAAGTGTCATGATCATAAAGTTAATAAAGGAATCATGGCATAAAAATTCCCACATCATGATTCTGCTCTTGTAAAATTAAAATACAGATAAAACCAAACTCCATTGTTTAATAATGTGTATTATGTAGTAGCAATATAAAGAAAAGCAAAAAAATGATTAACAAGGGAAAGGTGGTGGTTATCTCTGGGGGAGAAGTACACAGTAGAGGGCTGATGGTATTCTACTTCTTGACTTGGATTGGACTGTTTGTATAAATAATTGTCAAAGAGCACACGTATAGTTTATGCATTTTTCTATATGCATGTTATATGTTGAAAAGTAAAACACACATGCATCCAAGACCACTGTCCATGGCATGTGGCGATATAATTCCTAATATGCTAATGTGGGTCTGGCTGTTTGCAGCTATGAGCAAAGTATGTGCTGGATTCCAAGGGCCACTCCTTCAGGCAACATCATTGATTGACTGTGTTCTAGGATTTGGTTGTTATCACACAAAAAACCCTCAAGAAAATATCCTGTTTGATTAAACTAACTTTATTCATTCTTACTAGCCACTTAATCTTACTGTAGCTTGGTTTAAAGATATAAACCATTTGATGTTAATACAACTAACATGAGGATAGGTGAGGCGCCTGAGAATTTGTCTTGGCTCTTTTATTTTCATCCCAGCCGTGCTCTTTTTAAATGACCTGCAAATTTATTTTTTGTCAGCCTCCTTTCACCTCAAGTGACACAGCCTGTGTTCCATAGATAACAGAGGAGAAATACACTGAATGTTTTTTTTTAATAATCACCTCCAAACACATGAGCAAAGCAATATCTGAAAGATGTTTTCATCTCACTAATTAGGTTAGACATCTCAGGAGAACAGTCCTATTTGCTATATTTTTAATGGAAATGTTTCTGTTTCGGTTGAGAATCTTGCAAGAACAGATTTCTCCTTTTATACTTCCTGTTGGAACTTCCATGTAGAAAAAGAAAAGCAACATTTTCTCTCTGATAAGTTGGAGAGCATGGATTGTGAGTGACTTACGTAGAAAGACCATGACTTCTTAAATTTTAAGGTGCATATTTTGTAGCATGGAGTTGTGTGGAGTGCCAGGAAATACATTCTTAGTGGTGGTTATTCACATGCCGCCCCCCACCCCAGAATTTTGCTATTTAAGTGCAGCATTCATAAAGTCCTTAGGTTTTAGTATAGGCCACTCAGATGGTAGAACACAGAACACTTCTGTTTTTATTTGAAACACTTTTCTTTCTATGGGTTATGATTGTAAATGTGTCTGTTATCAGCTCTGACTCCTGGCGAATGAGTGGTGTCCATAATGTCCTGTCCTCGACAGCCCTGCTCAGCTCCTGTAGCCTATGGCTTCTTTTATGGAGTCTCATATTTGGTTTTCCTCTTTTCTTGCTGCCTTCTCTTTTCCCTAGCAATATTGTCTTTTCCAAAGAAACCTGCCTTCTTATGATGTCCCCTAAGTAGGACAACTTCAGTTTTGTCATTTTTGCCTCCATGTTTCAAGCTTAATTTGCTCTAGGACATACTTGTTTGTTTTTCCTGTGTCTAGGGCAGCGGTTGGCAAACCGCGGCTCGCGAGTCACATGCAGCTCTTTGGCACCTTGAGTGTGGCTCTTCCACAAAATACCGACTTCTGCGCATGGGCCACGAAGTTTCAATCGCACTGTACGTGCGCGCCTGCACGTGGTATTTTGTGGAAGAGCCACACTCAAGGGGCCAAAGAGCTGCATGTGGTTCGTGAGCCGCGGTTTGCTGACCACGGGTCTAGGGTACCCATAGACTCTTCTCTAACACTGTATTTCAAGAGAGTCAATATTTTTTTCTGTCAATTTTCTTCTCTGTTCAACTATTCATAGTAATTGGAAATACAAGGGTGTGGATGACCTTAACCTTGGTATCTAATGACACATCTTTGCTTTTGAAGATCTGTCCTAATTTTTCTATTGCTGCCCTTCTGATTCTCAGCCTTCTCTTGATTTCCCGGCTGAAGTGCCCATTTGAGTTGATAATTGAACCAAGGTAAGTAACATTTCAACACTTTTAATATATTCATTGTATATGTTAAAGTCAGGTATTTCTTTTGTAGTCATGATTTTTGTCTTCTTGATGTTCAAATCCAGCCCTGCGTTGAAGGTGAATATTTACTACTAATTGTTCTTCCATTTTCTCATTGCATTATATTTGTCAGTCTTGTTTTCTCCACTGATAGTGAGCTCTTTGAAGGTATTGGGCTAAAATGCAATGCCAAAGAAGCATTGAAAATTGAATAATATCATGTGACAAACAAGTGAAAAAAACAGAGAAGCAAAAGGCAATCTTATATAATAAAAGCCTAATTTGCTAAGTGTCCGGTCGTCTGGTCATCCATTCAACCAATCAAAGCATAATATGCTAATGATATGGTAAGGGCACTCAACCACTCGCTACGACGTGCACTGACCACTAGGGGGCAGATGCTCTGACCAGTAGGTTAGCTTGCTGCTGGGGTCTGGCTAATTGGGACTGGGCAAGACAGGCCAGACATGCCCTGGAGCCCTCCTGTAGTCCCTCCCTAGCTGGCTAACCTCCTGCATCCCTCCCTGGCCCCGATTGTGCACCGGTGGGGTCCCTAGTTTGGGCCTGCACCCTCTTGCAATGGGGATTTCAGAGAGCCAGTTCCAGCCCAATCCCACAGGCCAGGCTGAGGGACCCCACTGGTGCATGAATTTGTGCACTGGGCCTCTAGGTAAAACATAAAATAATTATAATTATTGGGTTCTTTCTCCTATTGTCCAGCACATTTGCATCCTCTTAACATCTGTTGTAGGTTCTAGTCAAGAAATTAAAGTATTTGTTATAGTAAATAAAAGGGATGACCTCTTTAGAGGTTTCTAAGATTCTAGTATTTATTTTTCAATCTTAAGTTTTATTAAAATACTCAAATAGAATGCAATGCAGACAATGCAGAACACAGACCAAGGATTTCTGATAGGGAGTCCATGGAAGGGATTCAAGGCTCTTATGTCCTTGATGTTTTATGTTAAATTGAGTCTGTGTATCTGTACATTTTCCTGAGTGTTTGGCCTTTCATCTGGGATTCTTGACCTTTCCTCCTCCCAGTTCAAGAATCATGGCTAATAGGTAACTCTCTACGTTTATTGTATGCCCTAGAGCCAGCCATATGGGATTCACTGGACAAGTGGATTTGAGAAAGATCCTCATACAAAGACTGAAATGACATTCTGCAAAGACAACAGTACCCACTCTGCTTTAATTTAGGGATGTTCAGGGGATCCCTTTCCAGAATTCAAGAATCGTGCTGAAAATACCAGAGGCTATTAATACTGCATGTATATTTGCTTTCATGACTTGGCAAGGGCGTGAGCTGCAACATGCAATCTTCTCAAAGATGGTACTGTGAAGGTTGGCTAGCAATCAGGCAGATGTCTGAGGTTTGGCAGTAATGCACCCCTCCTCTTCCTCCTCCTCCTCCTCCTCCTCCTCCTCCTCCTCCTCCTCCTCCTCCTCCTCCTCCTCCTCCTCTGTGCTGCAGAATAATCCACATAGTGCACTTATATTTCCACTCTCTGTAGCTCTAGTCTTTTCTAGTTTTAAAAGCATCTTTATTGAGATACTAGAGGCCTGGTGCACAAAGTTCATGCACAACTAGGGTCCCTAGGCCTGGCTGTTGATCAGGGCAGATTGGGGCCTTCCTTCCCCCCACTGCTGGTTGCCGGCCAGGGCCTTCCTTCCGGGCCGGGGCCTTCCTGCATTCCATGCTGCCCCCTGGTAGTTAGCGCACGTCACAGCAAGCGGTTGAACTCCCAGTTGGTCAAACTACTAAAGGGACAATTTGCATGTTAGCCTTCTATTATATAGGATAATAGATACATTATAAAATTCACTTTTTTAAAGTGTACAATTTAGTGATTTTTAGTACATTTACTGAGTTGTGCAACCATGACCACTATCTAATTTTAAAACTTATTTAAGATTCTTTTCTAGTGTTTTCTTCTAATAGCTCTGGAACAACACTGTTTAATTTATCTATACTAATAAATGGGTAATGTGCTAATTAGACTGGATAGACTGTACGTCTTCCAGACGTCTTTCCAGACAAACCCACAGTTGCAGGGGCCGAGGCAGAGGTGGTTAGGGGTGATCAGGCAGGCAGGCAGAGCACTTAGGGGCGATCAGGAAGGCAGGCAGGTGAGCGGTTAGGAGCTAGTGGTCCCGGATTGTGAGAGGGATGTCTGACTGCTGGTTTCGGACATCCCCCAAGGGGTCCTGGTTTGGAAAGGGTGCAGGCCAGGCTGAGGGACCCCCTCTCAACCCCCTGTGCAGGAATTTCATGCACCAGACCTCTAATTTTTTAATAAGAAGTTTTATACTCTAAAATAATCCCTATAGATAATGGGCAGTCACAAGTCTTCATAACATATACTGACTCTATCTCTTCAAATGCCAGGATTAACTCTTTATGACTCAGTGTTTACAAAGATAGTGCTAGTCCGTGTTTTAAATGTGGATAATTCCTGCTAGACAAAATAATGATAATAATAATAATAATAATAATAATAATAATAATAATGATTAGGTCAGACCATTTGAATTTGACATTTTTATAGGCCAAAACCAGTGAATCTCTATACTTTCATAAGGTTCAACATAATAAAGATTGCATGAATATTAATTCCCACTCCCTTCACCTTGCAAAACTTTGAAAGAAGATACTATATTTTAGGGTCATTAAAAATAAAACAAGTTGTTTCTGCTTGAAACACACAGCTAAATTTTGTGGACTTTTTGTGATTATGTACAAATTAAAATATTCTCATTCACAATCTTTATTCATTCATTCAATCTCAAATATCTACTAAGTACCTCCTATCTGCCAAGATAGATGATAGGAAGAAAGATATAGTCTCAGCCTTCGGGACACATTTTTGCTGTACTTCCTTCTGGCATTCTATATTAATTTATTACTTTAGAGCCTTGTGATGTGTTTGCATTTTCATCTTTAGCAAATTTATTAGCCAATTAGTTCTTGGCCTCTGTTGCTGCATAGGTAGGCCCATCCCTCCTTTCCTTCATGCATATACATTTCATTACACAGATGACTTTTTTCCTCTCGAGTTCCCACATTCACAAAGTAGAAAATCTCCTCTCCTCTCAATGTTCCAATGTTTCTAGATTGTTAAGAGGTGTAGTTTTGTGGTTTTCCCAAGTATAATCACTACCTGCCTGAGTCTTGGCTAAATGCCAGTGAGTGTCAATTCTTCAATTTTGGATGTAGATTTAATTAACACACAGTGTCCAGGATTAATATTCAAATTTCATATGTGATCAAAAATCATCAATAATATACAAGACACATATAAGTAATTTGTACATATTTTTGTAGTGTATTGGTAAATTCCCAATACATTTTAAATATTACATTGGCCTTTCAGCTATCTAGGGGATTTTACCTGTTCTGAATTAAGCTGGAGTGTTCTCCTGGACTTTTCACTTGGGGTAGAGAACGACATGTATCTCTTAGTAATTTTCTTCCAGTTACTGCTCCTAAGTAGAAAAACAGAATGTTGGAAAATTAGGTTTCTGGGTTTACCCAGAAAGAACATGATACTCAGGAAGCAATATGATGCTAACAAGGATAATAGTGTTAAGTTTGTCCAGAACTGATAGAAAACAGAATTGTGACTTTTGGAGAACATGTTATTCCATTTCTTCATTTTACAAAGGAGAAAATGGAATCCCCCCAAAATTAAGTGATTAGTTCAAAGTTACTTAATTATTTGTTAAAAATTCAAATTCAATGATTTAGATTCCCAGGACAATGCTCTTTTTACTAATGCTTTTTCCATTTTATATGGGAAAAGATTTACATTCTACTTCTAACATGCACTTCCTTTTAAATCAAAGACCTGTTTTTTTCAATTGTCTTTTCTTGCCCTAACTTAAATTCCATTTAACCTCAACTGGGGTGAACAACCTATAGCAGTGGTCCTCAAACCTGAGCTACTATCAGAATTGCCTGGTGGTTTTCTCAAACAGATGCTGGGGCTGACCCTGAGTTTCTGATTCAGTAGGTCTGGCATGTGAGTACATGTGCAAAAATTTGTATTTTTCAAGAAGTTTCCAGGTGATGCTGATATTCTTGTTTTGGGACCACACACTGAGAACCATAAACCTACATAAAGCAGGTTTAACAATTCCTCTATCAACAGGGTTCCCAATGACTGTGGCCCCTGTTGCTTAATCCTTTAACCTCCAGAAGTTTAATACATGATCAAAGTACCCATCTTAAGCTCAGTTGCACTCAGTAGTCTCCCAGCATTGACGTTCACATTGAGACCAGTGTGAAAATGACTACTTATCTTCGCAGATGGATTGTTGAGTCAGTCTGGAATAAGAAGGTAGCTGTTTAACACTTCTGATTAGCACTCACAGCTCCCAAGACCTAGCCTCCAGACTGGTGCCTCCTTCTCTTTCCCTTAACAAAATAATTAATGTTAAAAATTCCAATGTTAAAAAGGTAGCCAAAAAATATTTTTTTTATGAAGCTCCTCATATCTTCACTCCTTAAAGAGGCAGATAATTAAATATCACTGTAGCAGTCAGAATTCTTAGTTACAGAAATAGATGGAGATTAGCCAGTGTAAAGAGAAAGAGATTGAATAAAAGGTATCAGGTAGTTTATAGAATGTGAGTGGTCTTAGAAGAAACTGGGTCCCATGCAGAACCCTCTGCGAAATGTGAGTTCTAACTTTCCAACCTTTATTCTACAAGAAGAAATGCTAGAAGGGGTGTTGAGAGAACCAGTCTGCAGTATCTGGCACTATTACTGTGACCAAATTGTGGCTTGTTTTTTATTCTCAAGGTAGTTGCTGGTTCAATATCAGTCCTTGGTTTTACATACAGACATAATGATTTATGAATCAGCCCAGTGTTGAAGTCAAGATGTGGCAGTAAATGACCAGTAAAGGGAAAATTTTGTAAATAATCTTCTAGTACACTAGCAGAAAGGTTAGTGACAT